CACACACACACACACACACACACACACACACACACACACACACACACACACACACACACACATATATATATATATATATATATATATATATATCAGCTAAAAATCTAATGTATTAACTAAATGGAAAAAAGAATAAATTAGTAAAGTGTTCAACTTCTGATAAAAAAAATCCAAATAAGTTGCATGGTTCTTTTAGTAGTTTGCATTAGTATTTTTTCTTGACATGCACTGCTTCAAATTTTATTTATCAATAAACTGTCTATAAAAACTAAATTAAAATTGGAGTCTGAAGTCAAATTGGGATCACATTCTGTTCCTTAAAACTCAAGCCCCATTTATAAATAGTCCTGTACTATTACTGTTTTTATATAACAAATTAAAGTTTAAATATGTACACATAGATTAAAAAAATATTCTCCTGCAACTAATTAATGAATCACTTGAAGAAAATGAGAATACAATGTAAGCTTGTACCTGGTCCCAGTATGAATCCCACTGCTTGGCAAGCACTAGTGTTTGCCATGGCATTAGTTCTTTCAGTAAGAGAGGTGGCACCAGCAATATATGAACGAACTACTGCTACATTTCCTAAAACAAAACAAAGCAAAACAGTGTTTATTTGGAAAATCTAAGGTGCATATCTATTTTTAATCATATGCATAAGGTAGTTAAAAGCTCAACAGTATAGACCAAATCTTGGTCTTTTGTCTGCTCACCAAATCTATTTTAATAGGTCTCATTAATACCGAAATAACTAAAAAGATGCAAAAGAACTTTTATCTTAAAATCAATTAGTCAGAAATATCAATGAACTTGAGAAAATCTTTTAGAAACTTGAAATTAATCAGGAATAATTATTTCATAGCATCTCTCAGGTGTGAATTAAAGGAGTAAATTACACCTTTGAGCAACTGTAATTTTCTTCATATGAGAAAAATCCCTAAAATTAATATGACTACTGATAGTACTTTTAGGCTGATATCTTGGGGAATCTTTATTACTCTGATTAGTCTATTAGAATACTGTACTTTGTGGTAACTCAACTTAGGAGACTCTCTAATCCTACAGAAAGACATGGCACAAACATTAGAATAGAATAGAATAACAGAGTTGGAAGGGACCTTGGAGGTCTTCTAGTCCAACCCCCTGCTTTGGCAGGAAAACTTACACCACTTCAAACAAATGGTTATCCAACATCTTCTTAAAAACTCCCAATGTTGGAGCATTCACAATGTCTGGAGGCAAGCTGTTCCATTGATTAATTGTTCTGTCAGGAAATTTCTCCTCACTTCTAAGTTGCTTCTTCTCTCCATGATTAGTTTGAACCCATTGCTCCTTGTTCTACCCTCAGGTGCTTTGGAGAATAGTTTGACTCCCTCTTCTTTGTGGCAACCCCTGAGATATTGGAACACTGCTATCATGTCTCTCCTAGTACTTCTTTTCATTAAACTAGACATCCCCAATTCCCACAACTGTTCTTCATATGTTTTAGCCTCCAGTGCCCTAATCATCTTTGTTGCTTTTCTCTGCACTCTTTCTAGAGTCTCAACTCATCTTAGTAAGAAGGATTCTGGGAAAATCTTTCAATCTATATGTTGAAACAATCAGCAGGATTTTACTTTTACTCAAGATGTTCTGAGTGCCAACTTGTGGGGGAAGAAGGGATTTCAAGGGCCTGAGATTTTGATTTCTCTAACAAATAGTTGAATTGCCTTAAATACATGTAGCTACAAATCTAGCAAACATTACTTTAAATATTTCTCAAATTACCTGCACCAAACCCCACCAATGCTCGAGCAGCTAGCATGTAGTATTTGTTCTGTGAAGGGGGCAAATGGACATAAGCATAGAGGAAATTGGCAGCTACTGAAATAGCAGTTGAAACCACAAGTGGTTCTCTTCTTGGCCTGCAATTAGACCACATTCCAAAGAATGGAGAAGCTATCATCTGACCAATGCTGTATGAAGCAATAATCCAGCCCAGAAAACTTGGATCTGCCGTTTTATCTATCTATGGAAATCATAAACACATTTTCAACAATATTTTATTAATAAATAGGACACCGTAATTTAAAATATTCAATTCTAAGAGATATTATGCTACTAAAATATAGGTGAATGTTAATGAAGAGAACATTTTTAATTACAAGGTTAAATTAGAGGATCCAGCATTTATATATTAAATCTTGCAGACTATTAGTTGGTAAATTAAGCTTATTAATAACATGGAATAACACTGTTAAACTAGCATGGAAACAGACTGAAGTTTAAATTTAAAATTAGTCTATGTGGGAAGACTACCCTCCCACATTATTATAGTTACAAAAATAGTATTTTTAGCAGCATCACTATAAGAATACACATTCCAAATTATACATGAATAGTTACTGAATAATTTATATATCATTGAGTGGTTGGTACAGTTGGAAAAGAATCAATGACAAAAAATATTTTGAAGGGTTGGTGTCATGCACTTTCCTCTTTTTCTTTATTACTTAGATTTATAAACATCTTTTGTTCCAGAACTTTAAAATCGCAATCAAAACTTCAATTCTCTAGAATAGGTTAGGGTGAGGATATTGATTGGCTCAAAGTCACCCAAACAGCTTCCATAACTGACACTGGACTTGAGCCTGATCCTCCATATCCTAGTCTGACACCTAAACTGTTGCACTTCAGTACGTTTCTATTCTAGCTGTTCCTCTTTTCCATAAGATGAATCTCTGCAATTTATGAAGCTGGTCCTCTTTAATTTTGCTGTAACTCAACACTGCACCATTACACTAAAAGCTAAGCTTTCCTATATCTTACCATCTTATATTTCTCCAGAAAATAATTATGATGGTTGCTGTGTCCCGGGGTCATGTGATCACCTTTTACAATCTTCTTGAAAAGCAAAATCATTGGGAAGACAGATTCACTTAACCGTGTTACTAACTTAACAATTGCAGTGATTCACTTAACAACTGTGCTAAGAAAGGTCATAAAATGGGGCAAAACTCACATGACTGTCTTGCTTAGCAACAGAAGTTTTGGGCTGAATTGTGGTCATAAATCAAGGACTATGTTTATTATGTAAAATAATGTAATTTTTTGAAAAGATTTATTTGATTGATAAGGCCTACAGGCCATTGTAATAACTCTAAGCAGCATACAATTCTCCCTCCATAATCTGGATTTTTTAAAAATCAAATCAGAACCATAAATCTCCATGTAAAACCAGGAAATAATTGCAATTTATTCCCCTCATTTAAAGCTATTTCATTAGTAGAGGGGAAAGATGGGAAAATATACATATATATATACATATATACATATATATACATACATCCTTAAAATGCCACTTTATTTCTATACTACCCTTCCCAGTTTATGGAAATTTAATTTTACATACACTAAAACAAAAGAGAGTAAGACATAACGTACGCTAAAACAACTATCATGAAAGCCAGACTAAAACAGTGAATCTTTATATAAATTTGAAGGCCTGTAAACGTGATCCTAAATCCTGATATTAATAAGAACTGCTTTCTCCACTCCAGGGGCAAAAACTCATAAAACTCTCTTCTAAGTCTCCACCAACCCCGAAGCCAAAACTTACAATCCTTTGTCTATTCCAGCCTTTCTTCTTCAATATTTGAAATAGAAAACAGCAATTTGGACACTGCAAATTATTTGCCCATGCTCCCCACAAAAACACTAAAGTTAATATAATGATCTTTTGTATGTTTTCTGTAAATAATTATCTTTTCATTTGGCTGAATGAACTCATAGCATTACTTTATTATTCGATACTTCAAATCACTGTGAATTCCTGGCAACTGCCTGGACAAGTCTCTGCAGTTTTCTTGGTAATGTTTTTTGAAATGGTTTGCCAATGCTTCCTTCCTACAGTTGAAAGAGGAGTGGCCCAAGGTCATTCATTTGCTAATTGCTGAGAGCAGGACAGAACTCACAGTATCCTAGCTTCTACCGCAGCTTGCTGCTTTAATCACAACATCATACCACTGCAACTGTCAGATGCCTAAGTTAACATCATGCAAATAAAAATGTAGGTGATTCACAAACCTGTTGAAGATAGGGCCATATTGACATAATGACAATAGAGAAACCTGCAACATAAAATACTTTAGTTATTTTTCTCTTGTACTTTTTTGCCATCTACTGATCATATCCAGAGAAATAAAATTATGGAATGCCATACAAAAAACACAAAATTACTTTGGAAAAAGAAAACGTTCAAAAACTGCAAATAATTTTAGATGTAATGTTTAACCTTATCTTGCAAACTTTAATGATATTTCTAAGAAAATTTAACTATCTATAACTAAGCTATATGTTATCCAACGACACTAGGTTATTTTTCGGAGTATAAGACACACCAAGGTTTTGAAGAGGCAAATTTTAAGAAAAAGTTTTTGCACTCTGCAAACCTCCCAAAAACGGCCTGTTTGTTGTGAAAACGGGCCCATTTCTTTTCAAAAAAAAAGGGCATGAATAGCCCTTAGGAGGCTTGTAGAGTGCTCCGGGGGGGGGCAAAAACCAGCAAAAGGTGAGCAAAAAACGGGCTGATTTTTGCTCATTTCTGCCCTCCATGGTCCCCAGAAGCTGAAAGCCTCCTACAAGCTATGCACGGCCATTTTGGTGAAGGGGACAGGGTTTCAGGAGGTAAAAAATGCTGTATTCAGTGTATAAGACACACCCAGACTTTCAGCCTCTTTTTTTAGGGAAAAAGGTGCGGCTTATAATTTTGAAA